TCGTAATTATTTTACACATATTAACTATATCAACAAAATGTGTCCTAAGCATAGAAATCATATCATTATATTTTGTTATATTCAAATACGTAACAATCTCCCAATTTGTATTAGTTAGCTGCAATGCCCCTTCATTTTCATAATAAATACCAGAAGAATATGGCGCGTCCAATAAACTAAATGCGGGTTCATTTTTGACGGGTCTAACTTGAATGAATACAAAAATTGTTAGCGTTACCATTACCCTAAAATATTTAAAACAGCTACTATTTATGATAGTTACGACTATTTATTAGGATTACTATTAATATTATTTTAAACTAAAACATATTTATATACATATATACTAACATAGTTCTTTAATATAAATTTTATTCATAAAATATTTTAGCATCATTTTTATGTATAGTGGCTAATTTCTTTCCCTTCTGAATGACCAGATTAAATTCGGTAACATCTATCACTTCATAAGGCCCTACCCAAATTGGCATTAATTTGTTTTTTCTCGTATGATCTATAGTAAGAACCTTATCCCCCACGTGAATATCTATTTCTTTCATTCGTTGGTCATAATAATCTTTAGTTTTATTTTTCCTTTTAATTAAATTTTCCTTAGCCAACCTGTGCGCTGTCTGCATTTTGCACTTCATCTCATAAGCATAATTATCATAATTATAGCATGGACTCACTTCTCTACTCAAACCTATGGGTAACTTTACAGGGTTACCATATAAAAGTTCGTATGGTTGGTATTGGGTACTCTCATGTATAGCGGAATTGTAAGCAAAAATAACAAATGGTATATGTTCGCACCAATCTTGTGCATGCATATCTACAGTATGTCGCAACATTTCTTTTATTGTTCTATGAGCTCTTTCTAAACCCCCATTTGTTTGCGGATGATACACGCTTGCTAAAAACTTTTCTAATTTTAAGATTTTGCACACCTTTACAAATATATCACTAACAAATTCAGCCCCGTTATCTGTAAGTATTGACTGAGGTATACCATGTAGACACACGAAATATTCCACGAAACCTTTGGCGATAGTATTCGCCTTATGATCTACCAATGGTACTGCAATTAGGAATTTAGTTAAATCATCCTGCATAGTTAATATGTATGAATTATTTCGATATGTAGTTGGTAGTCTCCCTACTACATCCATAAAAAATTTTTCAAATGGCCTCGTACTAGTAGTGGTAATTGCCATAGGAATTTGAGTTTTCCTAGAATGTTTATTCTTTTGACAAGACTCACAATTTTTTATAAAAAGTTTTATATCTTTTTTCATTCCCTTCCAGGTTACTTGTTCACTTACCCTATTATAAGTTACCCTATTATAAGTTTTATGAAACCCCAGATGCCCACTTAAAATAGAACTATGACTTGTTTCAATAATTTTACGTTTATCCACTTCATTAAATGTGTCATTTTTATATATTAGTATGATGACATTAGTCATCCTGAATACGTGTCTTATCATTGCCCTTATTTTTTCCCAATTTAACATTTTAGCATTTCCGTAGCTTATTTCCGACATAGCCAATTTATCTATATTATTTATTTTACAGAATGTTTTTAATTTTGTTAAACACGCGTAAATATTATCATAGGAAGGGAACCCATCCGGACCCTCTTCCGTGGTTACCAGAAAACACAAGAATCGGTTGCCTATTTTCAAAGTTATGACATCCGCTAATTTTGGTTTATCAATTTTGCTTTCTGCTATACCAAACTTATCACACGCCTCTTTAAATAACTGTCCTTTATACTCTATAATGATATGGAATTCATTGGGCGCTTCCAGGATATTCCCCCTTATCTCTTTGACTTTTGTATTTACAATAATTTTCGAGCTAAAATCATCATTAAATTTTTCATAGCTATCTACTATTTGACATTGGTTAATTAGTTTTACTCTACTCAATGCATCTGCGTTACAATTCATTTTTCCTGGCTTATATTTAATTTCAAAATCATATTCTTCTAACTTGATTCTCCATCTTAATAACCTACTGCTAGGATCTTTAACATTAAATAACCACATCAAAGATTTATGATCACTAACTAAGGTGAATCTAGTGCCAAAAACATATGGTCTAAAATGTTTTACTGCAAATATAATTGCTACAAGCTCTTTTTCAGTAGTAGTGTAATTTAACTCTGCCTCATTTAACGTTCTTGATGCATATGCTATGGGCAAGTCTTTACCTAAATCACCCTGACTCAATACAGCTCCCGCTGCATAATTACTAGCATCACATGTTATAATAAATGGTTTTTCGAAATCAGGAAATTGCAATATAGGACTATTACACAAACAATTTTTTAAAGTTTCAAAAGCATCATTACAACAACTTGACCATTTATACTCAATACCTTTCTTTAATAAGTTAGTTAATGGTTTTGCAATCTTACTATAATTGGGTATAAAGTTTCGATAATAACCAGTGAATCCTAAAAATGATTTAATTTCTTTAACATTACGAGGAATGGGAAAATTTCTCACACTCTCGATTTTTCTTTCATCAGGTTCTACTCCTCTCTCAGATACTTTATGTCCTAGATAAACAACTTCTTTTCTTAAAAACTCACATTTGGCAGGTTGTAATTTTAAATTATGTTCTCTCATTCGTTTAAATACTTCCCTTAATCTTTTCTTGTGCTCTTTTAAATCCCCTGAAAAAACAATAACGTCGTCCAAATAGACAAGACATTTAATACCCACTAAATTACATAAAACATTATTCATTAGTCGCTGAAATGTTGGCGGACTATTCTTTAAACCCATGGGCAATTTAGTATACTGATAATGTCCATCATCACTACTGAACGCAGTTTTTTCTTTTGAAACTGTACTTAAAGGAATTTGGTGAAAGCCTGAAGCCAAATCCAATACAGAATAATATTTAGAATTACCTAATCGATCTAGCACATCTTGTATTAAAGGTAAAGGCATTTTATCTCCCACCGTAATATTGTTTAATTTCCGATAATCCACCACCAACCTATACTTTTGCTTCCCAGTGGCATCTAATTTCTTTTTAACTAACAAGATAGGTGAATTCCAAGGCGATTTACTGGGTTCTATTATACCATCTCGTTTCATTTGGTTTATTTGCTTACTTATTTCATCCCGTTGACTATGTGGTAACCTATATTGACGCGTATAAAGAGGTAACTGTCCACTAGGCACTTTTATATCGTGACTTATAGAATCAGTACTCGTTAACTTGTCCCCTTCTAAATAGAATATATCGGCGTACTCTGCACATATGGATATGACATTTTCTTTCTCTTCGACATTTAAATGTTCTAAACGCAATTCAGACATCAATTTATCACGCCTATCTGACCCCAAGTGATTGTTATCTATTTTGTTTTCAACATTCGTACTCATTACTAATTCTTCCTTAAATATTTCATACTCAAAATCGCTTATATTCAGAGGCTTAATCGTTTTTTCTTCCTCAGATAAATTAATTACATTAACCAGTATTTTTCCATCTTTAACAATATTTAATACATTTCCCACAATAACTTTTTCAGCAATCTCTTTACGATCTATTAATACTGCTACTTTACTATCAACTATATTTTTATTTACTGAAACCGATGCTACATATTCTGACCTTGGTGGCAACTTAATCGAATTCTCCCTACAGAACGAAATAGTACTATTCTTTATGTTAATAATTGTGCCTTGTTCCTTCATGAATTCTTGCCCCAAAATACCCGCTTTTAAGAATGGAACCCTTTCATCAACTATATAAAATTTTATTATACCCAAATCAATTCTATTCACTTTGATTGGTATCTCAACTATGCCTATGGTTTCTACCAATTCAGCATTGATCCCTCTTAAGTACACGTTTTCCCCAGGTATTAACTTCGTGTTATCAGTTAAGCTTTTTAAACTAATAATGTTAACACTACTTCCTGTGTCTAACAAAAACTCTGCACAAGGATCTATAAAATTCGGCGACTCACACCTAATATGGTTCCCATCCATTTCTACAGTAATTAATTTTACATCATGCGGTTTTCTTAAATCTCCAACCTCTTTTGGAAAACTTTTCTCCCTTGGTTGACTAGAACTACTTGAACTCATCTCTGGGTCACTAGTATTATTATTTAGACTCTTTTTTCTTCTATTTTCTGCATTCTTTTTCTTAAAACATCTCTCTATTGTATGACCCCCTTTTGAACAATATTCGCATACCACGTAAGTATGCTCTACTACAGTTTGTTTTACATTATTTCTATTTCTATCATTCATTCTACAGTCGCGAGCGTAGTGTCCTACCTTCGAACAGATATGACACCTACCTTTAAACGACGAATTAACCGGGTTATTAAATTTATTATTTTTAAAATTATTACCATTTGGTACCCGCGTAAATCGAACATTATTTAACCTACGCCCCTCAATTTGAGCAAGGAAATTTTTTTCTTCAACTATCGCATGTTGAATAGCGGAGTCTAGTGTTGTAGGGTGTTGGCTTTTTACCATTACTTTTATAGAAGCTGATATACCTTCTAGAAATACATTTAATACTTGCTCTCTTAAACAATTTTTTATAATTAACGCATCTGGTAAACTTTTTCCTTGCGTGCTACAGTTAGAGACCTGACTTAACAAATTTTTTAACCTATTAGCATATTCTACTACCGATTCTTTATATTGCTGTTTACAACTAAACAACGCAGTTTGCAAATAAGAAGCATTTTTAGGTCTTTCGTACGAGTTTTTTAAAATATTTTTTAATTCCTCCCAGGTATCTATAACTTCGTATTTTATT